TCATCGTCGTCGTCAGCGTCTTCCTCATCTCCCTCCTCCTCTTCATCAACATCAACAGCCATTGGAACGTCAAAGGGAGCATCATCGCAGCAGGCAGTGCCAGTAGCGGACGTGCCTTTGGTACTGACATCTACATCGGCCTCGTCTGGATTGGCAGTAGCGGCAAGGAATGTCAGGTCGGTTTCATTGTCACGTAATTCCAACGTATGTACTGGTTCTAGTAGCATTGGTAAGGTGTATGAATCTGCTGTTGCCAACCATCTTGTTCAGAATAGTGATTGTCGTTCTAGTTATGCTGATGATTGCTTTTCTGTTTGGTCTCGTTCACGTTGTCAAAGGTATTTGCGTGTATTGGAGTCTATCTACATTTTTACCACCAAGCCAATTTTGTGTAGGCAGAAAAAGAATTTGTTTACGTTGAAATTGTTTGTGAATTTAGATCAGTAGTTCTCGTTTGTGGTGGCATGGTAACTTTCTAGTGGTGAATTTATCGCATCTGTTGTCACCTGATATCGTTGAATGGTGTAATGTTTCTTTCAGCTCTCATTTTATCGCGCTAGTTAGGGTCTAAATTATTACTTGCATTGTGCGTATATATATTGAGTTAAGAGCTATTGTTGATTTGCCAGTAATCCTCTGATGAGATGGCGACGAAAACGTTTAGGAACAAGCTTCTTTATTTACATGAAAACAAGTTTTGCTAATGGTGTTTGTACTGAGTGCGCAGCTTACTCTATTTATTGCGTTGATTACACTTTTATCTCCACGAAGCTTAATAAGTCAAACAATAATAATTTATGATTTTTAATAGTTTTACTCGGTTAAGGAGCCAATTTAATAATTGTGGTAACAGAGGAGAGGACAACATGTTACGAATTATGACAAACAGTCCACCAATGTGACCAGATCACATGCAGGCAGCGAGTGCGACAAAATGGCACAAAACCTACAAGGAGTACGGAGACATTCAGCAACCTGACACCTAGCTCGAACACTTCTCCAAGGCGCAAGCCAACAAATTTCCAACTTGAAAGGCTCAGATTCGGACATGTCCAAGAGTGTAGGAAAGCGTATTTTTGTTTGATAGAATGACTCCCCCGTCTACTATACAGTCATACTGCCGTATTTCCACAAAATAGTAGGCTGGGCTACCATTTTTCAAACTCTCGTCCTAACGCGGACTTATAATTGAGGACGGTGTTGTATTCGAGGACGGTCTTTTCTTCTTTCAAACCAGTTTGACCCCGGTCTTCTATTTTTCGCCACACAGTTTTACCCCCGTTCTTCTACACAGTTTGAGCACTGTCTTCTATTTCTCCCACAGTTTGAGCACGTTCGTAAGACTCATTTAGTAGGCCCGGTCTTTCAATAGGACACCGTCTTGTATTTTTCAATCACCCCCTGCCCCGGGCTTGTATTCAAGGAAGGCGTTGTATACAAGGACGGTCGTACAGCAGCCTGACACCTAGCTCGAACACTTCTCCAAGGCGAAAGCCAACCACGTTCCAACTTGGGAGGCTCAGGTTCGGAAAGGTCACAAGGGAAGGTAAGTATATTTTTGTAGGATAGAATGACTCCACACTCATTTATTCTATACAGTCATACTAACTTGTACACCCTTGAGAAATGCCTCAACTTCAAAACCTACGTACAGTCAACTTTGCTAATAACCACTGCGGATATAACGACAATTTGCGAATAACGACATAAATTTCATGCCCAGAGCAAAGTCCTATCCAACTGTGACACATAATGAGACTTCAGGTATAACGACACTTCGCGGTGGTGACTGGATTGCCAGCAATATGAGAGGATGTGTATTCTGCGGCGGACCTCACCTGGACAAGAGCTGCACGAAATACGCAACAGTAGCACAGCGGAAAGAACAACTGATTGAACAGGAGCGTTGCTTTGTGTGTTTGCGCACAGGGCACCGGTCAACTCAGTGCAAGGCCACCCACAAGTGTAATGTGTGTTCTCGCATGGGTCACCATCATGTCACGATCTGCCCTGAATCTCAACAGAAATCTGGCAACAGTACCAACCTGGTAGCTGATCAACCTGTGGCTCACGAGGCACCAGCATCTAGCACAACAACGGCTAGTGCAGCATCAACCAGTGTCGTCATAGCTGCTGACACAGCAGCCCCTCAAACGCAGCCCACTGCTGCACTTCAGTCGTCTATCGCAAGTGGTGATGTTTACCTGCAAACAGCGAGAGTTCCGATTGAGAGTGCAGACGGCTCCACAGTCATGGCGACAGTTCTCTTCGATTCTGCCAGTCACCGCTCTTATCTGACAGAAAAGTTGGCAGACACCATTCCAGCAGATGCGGCACGCTATGAGTGGCTCTCTTTATCTACCTTCGGTCATGCAAGGAAGACGCAACGGAAGGTCCGAGTTGCGGGTCTTGGTTTGCGATTGAAGGATGGCTCATCGAAACAAATCGAAGCCAGTGTGTTGCCACATATCACCAACACTATCTCTCAGCAGGGTATCCCAGCAGCGGATATCATGGCATTCCAAGAACTGGGTACAGACAACTTGGCGGACACTATCAACTTGCAAGAAGTCGACCGTCAGATAGACGTCTTGATCAGTACAGATTTCCACTGGGAGTTTATGATGGGGAGCACCAGAAGACTTCCGTCAGGACTGCAGCTTCTGCCCATCACAGTCGGTTTTGTGGTGACTGGCCGAACACGTCACTCCAAGCCCTCAGCTGCACCGATAAGCAGCACAGCCATGCCAGCTATCGTTTCTTTAACTGATGCGACTCCCGAGTCGTGCACCATTCCAGATCTGTGCGACTTAGACTGCATTGGCAACCAGGATTCAGCCGATCTGACGAACAACGACCTAGCCATGCAGCAATTCAACTCCACTGTAACGTTTGACGGTCAGAGGTATGAAGTCAGCTGGCCCTGGCAATCCAATGCCCATCTACTGCCAGACAACTTTGGTGTCGCACTTGGTCATTTCCGGTCTCTATCTAAGCGCCTAGCAGCCGAGCCGGAACTCAAGGTCAAATACGACAACATGATCCAACAGCAGCTACGGCAAGGCTTGCTTCTCTACTTCATCCTTTGTTTTGTTTTTCTCTTTCCGCTGGGAGTGTCGTGACATTCAAGTGTACGAGTTAAGTGTGTAGAACTTGGTACGCACTGAGCTCTGTGTCTTTCTCTGGTCTCCAAAATTATACTGCATGCATTCACGTTACACGCTTATAAGTTTGACCCTGAGTTCATGTCTACTATCCCGTGTCTCCTCTACTTCTGTTTGCTTCCACGTGGTACACGGCTACGGTGTAGCACTGCACGTGTTCCGTCAGCTTGAACTGTAACATAAATCGTACTCTAGCCCTGCTCACACTTCATTTATGTCACGTCCCCGCTCGCGCGGTTCTTCTGCGCTCTACTGCGCAGTACGGTAGTATTCCACATTTTATTCCCGTAGCTATGCAGAAGACGTTACTTCAGTAACGTCTGGCGCTAGCCAGGGTCCACACAGCTTTAATTTGGTGTTTGTTTGTTTGTTTGTTTGTGTCACGCCTGGCGCTATCCTGTATCTGTCCCGTACTGTACAACAAGCAAAGACAGCTGGCCACAATATATAATTATGTTTGTTTGTGCCATCGACATGCCTGGCGCTATCCCGTACCTGTCCCGTACCATCAAGAGTACGGTACCATCAAGAGAATGAGTATATATGCGAAGTGTATCGGGGGAATGCATTCAGTGCAGTAACATTTTGTGTGGATTTGTGTGCGAGGCCGAGATCCCACTAGAAGGCTGGCTGGGCCGCCTGTCGACCAGCCCGTGAATCGCATGTAGGCGGATAGCATAATAATTATAACGTTTATACAGTCATGTAGATGTATAGCAGGGAGTCATAATGTAAACCACTCCCTGCTGTATGGGGAGATTTTCTGGAAACAAATACGAAGTAGGGAGACGAGTAAATGCAATCAGAATGGATGTTAGTTGCCCTCAGTATAATAATAAGAAGAAGATAAACGCCCATGATCGGCAGAGTCAGCGCCGGTCCCAGGAAACGTCAAAAAAAGACATCTCGTCGACTCCGGAACGCCCGTGATCGGCAGATTCAGCCCCGGTCCCATAGCTATGCAGAAGACGTTACTTCAGTATCTCATTGAAGCGTTTTTGCAATACAATGATGTAGCTAATCAAAGGAAAAAGCATTTCCATCAGTTCTAACAACATGCGCGATGAGCTAGGCAACAAAGCATAGCGCAGGGCCCTGAGCTTCCAAGCTCTCTCGTTTCTCGTATCCTTTTCTGGCTGGCTGGGGCCTTTTGCTGTTTGTCCTTGGAGAAAAGGACTGGTCTTTGCTGTTAGTCCTTGGAGAAAAGGACTGGTCTTTCCACTGGTAGTTAGAATTCAGTAGCCGTTTTTAGGACGCTCTTGAATTATGGTTTGGAACTAAAACACAACGTAGAAGTAACTATTGCCTCTTAAATCTCTGGTGCACCATATTAGGCACCTTTCGCATTTGCTACGAACCGAATGCGAAACGAAAGTTTGACTCGTCTCGTGATCATTTCGTTGAAAACTGAATTCAGGTTTCGCAAGTCGTGAAGCAAATGTGCATGGCAACCACGAATACGGCCGGTAGCTTGGCGTACGGGTGTGTTCGCGCACACGTGCATGGATCATGGAACCAAGGGAAAAAAATGTGTACCTGGCAAAACATGTGTACCTTGCAAAAAAATGTGTACCTGACGGATTCAGAGCGTGCCACGAATGAAGAGGCTTCCATTCGTGAAAACAAGCTCTTTGCTCAGCTCTTTGCTTCCAATACGGAGTTCTACCTGGAAAAGTCTTCCACAAGCGGCGTCAGATTCAGGTCATAAAGGGTGGGGGAGGGTACATGAGATCAATTAGCGAAATGCCAAATCCCGAAATCCCATTTGCCACATCTCAAAAGAACAGAACTAAGCCAAAAAACGCCTTTTTACGGTACATGCACAACATGACTTACAGCTTTTGTAATTTGGTTGTGGCGTTGAACAGTCCGGCAGGTAGGTGAACAAGATGATTAAGTCTCAAATCTCTGGGAGAACAAAGTATAATTTTGATAGGATGTACATCACTTCCTGGAAGAATTTCGTATTACTTTATTTGGCGTCTCAGAGGAGAAAGACAACCTGTTACGAGTTATGACTAGGGATTATTATTATTTATACAATAGACACAAAGGCACACAATGAAAACCTTGGCAAATTAATTCCGTTGTGACTCAGAGTTTCATGGCTGAACCAATCATCAGACAACGATAATGGAATAGGAGGCAGCGCTGGTATATCTAAGTGGAGAGAGGTGTGATAATACGATAGCGAGAGGAGTAATCGCGTGAATATATACAGGGACAGGCTATTTCAGAGGCAGATGCAGTAGGCGCAGGTCTAGCACTAACAAGTATGCGATTAATCTCGCTCACACACCACACCCAAACACACACACACACACACATACTAACAAGCACACACATAGTAACACCCACACACATACACACATACACGCACACACTAACACACACACACACACACACACACACACACACACACACACATACACCCACCCACATCACCTTAACTTGCACACGGGCGCACGCACACACAGACTCCCACCCACCCACAACACCCTAACTCGCACACGCACAAACACACGCACACACGCATATACACACACCTATAGACACATGTCCACACGCATACACAGGCATCTGCGTTCGTATGACAAATCTAAGCGCACACAAACTCCTGCAATCACGCGTCAAAAACCCGCAGCGGTCATAGCTGTCTATGTTATAGGGGTGGCCAGCAGAAACATTCACGCAATTACTCCTCTCCCTATCGTATTATCACACCTCTCTCCACTTAGATATACCAGCGCTGCCTCCTATTCCATTATCGTTGTCTGATGATTGGTCCAGCGATGTAACTCTGAGTCACAACGGAATTAATTTGCCAAGGTTTTCATTGTGTGCCTTTGTGTATGCCGCTCTGCCAGAATCAGGCATTGAGCACTCTTGCAGAACCAAAGCATATCCCCTCTGTATTTATACAAAAGAGAAAGATTTTAAAAAAAGTCGGCACTCAAAGAAAGTCTAAACTCGGATATGGAGCCAGTAATAAAATGTAAAAAATGAGAAGAAACACATGAGAACGAGTTATGCAGCTACTGTCCACGATGGTAACGAGATGATTAACGGTCAGAAAGTGCTATAATAGGGCACAAAACTGACAGGCTACTGAGACATTCAGCGACCCGAGACCTAGCTCTAACACATCTCCAGTGCGCAAACCAACAGCCTTCCAACTTCGAAGGTTCATGGTTACGTAGGACCGAAGAGGGGAAGGTGAGCGCAGCGAAAATGTGCGAGACATATTCCGGGCCATGTTCCGCTCAGATTTGTAATGGGTGAGCTTGTCAGGAGTGGGGTACTTCTTGTACTGGATGTGAGAGTCTCGCTTGTGCTTTAACTGAATTCTTAGTGCCGGAGTGAGCCACGAGGGATTACTGGGTGACAGGGAAGATATATCTCGGCGTATGCATCTGGCCACAGGTGAGTTTCAAAGGCTTTGGCCACTGTGGGTGAGAGGCTCGCAGGTGAGAGAGAACATACGTGTCAAGCTATACAATGCAGTTATCACACCAATACTCCTGTAAAATTGCTCAACATGGTGAGTCCCAAGCAATGTCTTCAAGCGATTAGAAGTATTCCACAGACGTCACATGGCCAGCAATCGAGGACATCTGGGAGTTGTAATTTTTGTACTCCTCCGAGGTGTGATTTTTGGCGTGCTGGGCCAAGCACAAGGAAGCCAGCCACCTGTCAAAAAATGAAGAAAACGGTTGTTGTTTGATCCTTTGGTGTAATCTTTGTAGCTAGTCGAAGCAAGTTGCTGTTTGGAGCAGAAACTGAAATTGACTTTTTTCTGCATGTACTCATGCATGTACTCATGTACTCAGTCATGCAGTCTCACTCGTATTTTAGCTCTTCTTCTGGAATGGATGCTGCTCTGCGCCCCTTGGTGAACATTACCCGCGCTCGTGGAGCAGCTGGAGAGGACCACTGGTATGTCTGGTTCCTGGTTTGAAAGTGGAGAGTCGACTTTTGTGTCTTGAAACAGGAGTAGCTTATTTTGAGTGCTCCTCGTACATTTTTGATCGTGATAGAAATTCTCAGACCAAAGTCAGCGCGATGATGACCGATCAGTTTTCTTATGGATTTTTTAGTTGTTTCGTCTCGTATCTATGTCAGTATGGTGATGGTGAAGTGGAGAGGGTGATTTTCTTCCTCTGGGCTTCGTTCGGCCGACTTTGCTTCGTCCTCGTTGAAAAGTGATGCTGAAAAAAAGGTCGATTCGCAAAATTATGTTGATTTTGAATGTAAGTGATGACATGGGATTGCTGGCTATGATTGCAAAACAGTCGTGGGGATCAAGTACCCTCAATTCATCAAAAATATCGAGCTGTATAAACGCACCAACTCCCAGCCCCTAGGGAAAACCATTGTGAGAGCGAGGTGGCGGTTCTTTGGCCATGTCCTGAGACTAGATGACGATGTACCAGCACGCTTTATGATGGCAGCATACTTCGAAAACCCAAGATCTGCAGCCACCTGGCGGGGCCGGCCACGTACCACTCTGCCACTGAGTCTGCACCAGGACCTGCAGCGTATGGGGGGGGGGGCACTCAAGAAACGTGAGCAACTCGAGAACCTCCATGCCATCGCCCAGTCACGACAAGACTGGAAAGACCTATGCAGCAATGTGATAAAAGCATACATCAAAGCCTAATACTGCTTCCACCTGTGGCAGCTGCATGGCTGTACGTTGTACTAGAACATAACTCATTGACTAACATATTTTGTGAAAATATTATCCTGTAAAAGAATAGGAATGTAAACGATATACCGATGAAAACATAACCTTTAATGCTATTAACACAACCTGTGACTACAATAATCATGAGAACAACCCCAAAACATTTCTTGCAGTTTACTTTCGTAGAGTTTGCAACATTGTGTACCTCAATACAACTTGCAGCTTTCTTCAAAAATATCCTCCACCTTGGTTCTGTCCTAGATTGTATATACATGCATTCATTGTTTCGTCTCATCATTATGGAGCAGCTTATGCGAAGGCTAGCCAAGCTTGCTTGGCGATGCCAACGCGGAAAAGCCTATAATAATAATAATAATAATAATAATTGTCTCTTTCCCTCAAAACCAGTTAATATTTTATGACTTGGGGCTCCCCGCGTGCTAGTTTGTTAGTGAAGTGTGTGGGTACAGTGAGGGCTGCGTCCCACCCGCCTGTGTGGATTCACAGGAAGTGTGAGTTACAAAGTCTGAAGAAAACGTTGAACGGTCTCTGCTTGGATGACGACTACACCATAGCTCAGTGGTCAGAGCATCGCTGGCTACAAGCGAGGGTCCCTGGTTCGAGTCCTGGTGGTGACAGTCAATTTTTTCTTCAGACTTTTCCCGTTTGTCTCTTTCCCTCAAACCAGTTAATAATAATAATAATAATAATACTTTAATAACGAAGGTACGTGTTGGGTCGTAAGTATCCACGCAAACACACATCCAGTCAAAATAAGGCACTTGTCAAAGTATCCGAACGTTTTCGGTCCCTTCTCATCAAGGATTATACAGGGAATGGCTCAAGTTGGAAAGACTAAAACTTATATAGCGTAAAGATATGAGATAACAACACTCGTGACAAGGTGGAAAAAGTATCAAGTTCAGCACGACACATAAACTCGAAGGAAATAATAATAGCGACAAGAACATAGTGAGCAAATTAAGTTACATTGTTAACACCTCGACGAGGAGTAACACCAAACAATTGTAGCGACAACACATTTTCTTTCTGTACGCAAAGTTCAGGATCTAACTTACGGATATACAAAGCTTCTAACACAGCCAGATGCAACGCACATCTACCCAACGGAGCTAAGAATCGCACTTCGTCCATCAAGCAACATCTGTCAGCCCGTACCAATTGTCGTGAGTTGTACAGTGATAATGTGTTCTCAATATTGTCACGTGGTAGATGTGCGTTGCATCTGGCTGTGTTAGAAGCTTTGTATATCCGTAAGTTAGATCCTGAACTTTGCGTACAGAAAGAAAATGTGTTGTCGCTACAATTGTTTGGTGTTACTCCTCGTCGAGGTGTTAACAATGTAACTTAATTTGCTCACTATGTTCTTGTCGCTATTATTATTTCCTTCGAGTTTATGTGTCATGCTGAACTTGATACTTTTTCCACCTTGTCACGAGTGTTGTTATCTCATATCTTTACGCTATATAAGTTTAGTCTTTCCAACTTGAGCCATTCCCTGTATAATCCTTGATGAGAAGGGACCGAAAACGTTCGGATACTTTGACAAGTGCCTTATTTTGACTGGATGTGTGTTTGCGTGGATACTTACGACCCAACACGTACCTTCGTTATTAAAGTATTATCCGCCTCCGACTTCTTGTAAAATAATAATAATAATAATAATAATAAAGGGTTGCTCCCCACACCGGAGCTCGCGCTATTCCGCCGACTTGACTTGACACTTGACACTACTTCGTAATAATAATAATAATAATAATAATAATAATAATACGAACTTAGAACGAACTGTGATCCTAGTTTGAACAATCAACTTAATAATAATAATAATAATAATTGTAAAAGAGAAAAGGACATATGAATACGAGTTTAGAGTAACTCTCCATCACTGTAACATGATACTATATACAGTCAGAAAGTGCAATAACTAGGCACAAAACTGACAGAGTACTGAAACATTCGACGTCCTGACACCTAACTTTAACACATCTCCGTAGCGCTAACCGACAGCCTTCCAACTTGGAAGGTTCAAGGTTATGGAAAGACCAAAGAGGGGAAGGCAAGCGCAACGAAAACGAGCAAAAGCTACAGTCCCAACGGAACAAAGAATGTCGATTGTTACTGGACGATGACGAGACCAGTACGATATTTGACAAAGCGGTCTAACTACAATTCGACTGT